CAGACATATACCATGAGGCTAAGCCCACCCCTGACACTATCTGGAGGACTAGGACCCAGAAGCTGGATGGCCCAGAGACCTAGGATAGAGCCAAACACAACTGGAGAAAAAACGTCAATGTAATGATGCTTAACGATATTCTGCTATACTTACAGATTCATGCATAGTCCAATAGTCATCAGAAAAGCTTCCTCCAGCAACTAGGGAAAGAAATGTAGAGGCACAAGTCAAACATTAAGCCAAGCTTGAGGAATCTTGCTGAAGAGATGGGGGGTTGGAGGAACCAGATAGGTCAAGGAAACCCACAGAATTAACTAATCTGGGATCACAGGAGCTCACAGAGACTCAAATGACAACCAGGGAGCCTGCATGGGACTGACCTAGGCCCTGTGCATAGGGGACTTCTAACAGCGGGAGCAGGGGCTGCCTCTGATTTCTTTACTGGCTTTTGGGACCTTAATCCTCATATTGGGTCGCCTTGCCCAGCCTTAATACAAGGCAAGATGCGTAGTCTACACTGCAAAGGGATACGCCATGTTTTGTTGATATCCACGGGAAGCCTCCCTTTTCTGAATAGAAATGGAGGAGAAGTAGATGGGGGAGGCAGAGGTGGGGGGGAGGGACTGGGAGGAGACTAGGTAGGGGAAACTGTGGTGGGATGTAAAATAAATCAATACATTTCTACAAAAAAGAAGTAGTGGATACAGCAAGTTCCATATGGAGAGATTAACGCATGCTGACCGTAGGGCAGGGCTACTGAAAGAAAACCAAAGCGGGACATTAAATGATGAATGAAATTAAACACATGGGGGAGAGCTTAAAAGGAGGCATGCATGGCAAGGCAAAGGACTAAAGGCTTTGAGGATGGCTCTGTGTGGGAGAAACTGGAGTATGATTGAAGTGGAGAGCATACCTGCCTGACTTAAGTATATCGTTCTGATCAAATTCTAGTGAACTTGGTGTCTCAGCATAGAAATTTTGGCATCAAGAGACTAGAAAGTTCATGTGTATTATATAATAAAAGTAAGGTTTCAGAAGCATCGATTTGTGAAGGGGGATCCATTAGAAAGTGGGGAAAGCAATAAAAAATAAAGTATGAACAACAAAATGAAGCTCAAAATAATATATATATATATATATATTTCTTTTCATTCTTTTTAACTTTAGTTAAACCACAGAAAAAGGCTTTAGTAGGATTGTGTTATTCTTTCAGTAGCAAATGTAAGAAAAAAAGGAACTGGAGTATAGATTTAGCTGCAGCTGGGGCTAGCTGCAGGATGGCACCTTGAGGAAAATTACTCCGAAGGTTTCTACTTGAGAACTTGAATGTGATTCAGGTTGAAGCTTCATGAGCAAGGTTAGGAAGATGGGCCTTGTGCCATGTGTATGTGTTGATGTAATCACTAGTCAAATTAATGTTCTCCTGGGTCTGCGATGAAGGGGAGTCCCAAAAGGATGAAGAGCCTGGCAAGCTAGGCTATTGTTAAAATTTAAGAAGCAGGCTAAGCAATTTAGCACAACTCAGATACACATAAGCATTCAATATTGTATTTTCTTATTACAATTTTCAAGTAGGAACTGAACTGATCAAATACAGACATCTCTGAGAGAAAAGGAGAGTGTGTAACCCATCGAGACCTCCATGTCTCTAGCATGAAGGCTGGACAGATTTGAGACTTCCTAGATTAGCACTGAGGTAATTGCATAATGCCAGAGTCCCAGGAGTGGGCCTTACATTCTCCATTCTTTTACTTGGTTGCTGGATGACAAGTGTTAGTCACTCCACGCATGACTTTCTAAAATATACAGATATTATTAAAAGCTGAGTTTCTGGGTGCATTTGGGGAGCAGAGGAAGATGGATCAAGAGTTTGAGGCCAGGCGGTGGTGGCGCACGCCTTTAATCCCAGCACTCGGGAGGCAGAGGCAGGCAGATCTTTGTGAGTTTTAGGCCAGCCTGGTCTACAGAGTTTTAGGACTTATTTTGAAAAACCAGAAAAAAAAAAAGAGTTTGAAGCCATTTTGGAATACATAGTCAGGACCCTGTCCCTTAAAAACAAGCAAACTTCTGATATTTAAAGGCCTATTTGTTTCAATGTTTTAAAAGTTCTGGATAGAAAAAGATTCATCTCTTCTTAACAAAGTATTGCAATAGTTTTAAAGTTGCTAGTATTATATATAATGGATATTAATAGATATTTGCAAAAAAAAAAGCTTGAGGCTTTCTTTTTTACTCTTTTGAGATAAGGTTTTAAGGTCTCACTCTGTAGTCGAGACTCGCCTAGAACTCTCAACACTGTTCAGCCATTTAAGTGCTAGCAAAACAGTGTATGAAATAAAATATAAATATATCCATTTACACATATAAACAGACATGTCCTGTTAACACATATGGAATGGGATTCTCTCTCTATGACTATGACACATAAAGGAAAGATATAAACGGTAATTCTTAGTTATGAGATTCGCTCACCTACTCTTTGGCTACAGCAACTAGAAATAGGTTTAAGCTTAATTTATCAGAAACACTGTGATATTTTATCCAAGTTTATTACTGTAAGGTAAATGTTGTTGGTTGTTTTAAGATTAGAATCCAGTCTTGGCAAGCATCCTGAGAGTCTTATAGCAGAAAACTCAAATATAATCAGAGATGGTGAAAAGAATGTGATTACTAATTCAGCAATGGAGAAAACAAGGCTCTTGGCTCCAAGTATTTCACAGCCGACTTTTGACAAATAAGACCCATGGGGGAGAGGATGGTCAGGAGGTAATAGGATTGGATGCACCCATCAGTTGCTGGGTGACTCAGGAGATTCCAAAGCTAAGGCGGATCTCCAGGAATCGGGAAGTCCCCTGAGGACCATGGATACATGCGCAAAAATAACAGAATCTGAACACAAGTGTTTGTACTTCATCAGTTAGTCTGAAATTTGATCTTATTCATTGAAGCCCAGAGAAATGTGCTGTTTTAGCAAAAAAAAAAAATCCCTCTCTAGAAACAAAATATTAGTATTACCACGGATGTGCCCACTTTCCTAGGCATTCTCCATTTCAGATGTTCTGAAAAGAACTCTGACATTGCATCTAATCAATCCATATTAAAGGGGAAGCAATCGGACTTGACATTTCTTCTGGAAAATTACACGTCAGTATAAAATCTGGGCATCTGCCACGGAGTTGTTCTGTATTAAGTAAAAACTGCTGTTAAAGAAAACAACCAAATATTTCCCAAAGAAAATTTGGAACTTTTATCCAACTTAATTCGATAAAAAATAATGCCAAAAGTGAAGCAGGATAATAGATTGCTTTGCCTATGTTGGTATTTATACACCAAATGAAACTGCTTTTGTTGTTTGTTGTGTCTTTGTTCTTTCCGTGACACTGTTTATCCCATATTAAATATAAATTTAAAACAATAAACTTTTGAAAACAGTAAAAATAAAAAAAAACCAACTTAGCCTAAGGGGAAAGAAAACTCAGCTAAAATTTGGGTAGACTAGGCTAATTGGATAACTAGACACAGCATCCTTCTAGACACTCTGTGGTTGTACTGTGGGTAGCTCACAACTGTTCTCGAGATAGAAGTATTACATAATAACAAGAAGAAGTTCAACTTTTATTAATTTATCCTGATAGGATAGTTGTTTGTAGTGCCAGAGTCATCCCTTTCAAGATTTCAATATTTAAGAAGGCATTGTATGTAGACTGACGGATTTGTATTGGCCAAGAAGATCACTAACACTATTAATACAATCTGCACTTACTCAGTTTTTATAAGCAGAAACACAAGTTCAAATTAAAATCTCGTGTGGCAAAGTCACACTGAATGACAGTAGATCAGTGACCATGAAAATGCAAAGTCACAAATAGTCCAAATATATACGCTCCCCTGGAGAAGGGAAAAGTGTCACCATCCCCTGAGCAAATTGAGAGCATGGGAAGAAGGGGGAGGAAGCTACGAGAGTGAGAAGGGAAGAAAAGGAAGGGTGCAGAGGTCATGAGGGAGCAGAAATTTTGAGTCAGGTGTAGATTAGAAGGAAGGACATATGACAGGTAGGATTTTAGTTGGGTGGGTGGTAGAAGAGGAAGGGAGGGAGAAGGGAACTGGGATCGCCATGTAATTCAATCTTGTTTGTAATTCAAATATATAAAAAATAAAAAAATATAAAAAAATAAATTAAAAAAAAAGAAAATGCAAAGTCACAGGCATCTGTAGGTTATGCATCACAACAGCCAAGTCTCTGGTAGCCAGACAAAGTCTACAATTTTCTGTGATTTCAGTCCTGTCTCTTTCTCTGCCCAGCTTTTGTGTATGGATAACTTTAGGTATTGGTCCTGGATCCTCTTCTATTTTCTGTCTAGCATGTATTCCTAAGCTAAGCATTGCACTCACTTACTGGGCTCGAAATAGTTGCTTTAGAACACACCACTCCCCAACCTCCTTTATACCCTCCCCCACTGGGATACATGCTCATATTAGAATCTAGCTTCCATAAGGTTACATTTCATGAGCTTAATGTGATCACCCATGTGGTGATATATTATTTATACTTTAATAAAGATTGCCTGAGGTATCAGAAAGCAAGGCCAGACACACTCGTTAGCTGTAGGAGCTAGGCAGTGCTGGCACACACCTTTAATCTCAGGATTTAGGAGACAGGCAGATGGATCTCTCTGATTTCAAGGCCATCCTGGCCTACACAAGAGTGAAGATTAACAGAGCTTACACCTTTGAACCCAGCACTTGGGAACACATGCCTTTAAACCCAGCACTAGGGAAGTGGAGACAGGAGGAGATGGCTGGGTGGAGAAAGGAATATAAGGAGGAGGAGACAGGCTTTCAGAACTTTTCCCCGTGAGGATTCATGGCGACAGGATTGCCATTTCATCTGGGTAGAGGTAAGATCTACTGGCCTGGGGGCTTTGCTTCTCTGATCTTCAGCTTGAAGCTTGAACCCCAATACCAGTCTCTTGGTCATTTATTATTTGGGTTATACACCCATCTTTTCTGGTTGAATACATTCATTGACTTCCATTCTCAGAATTCAATTTCCTTACCATATTCTAAAGGCTTTGCCTCTCCATCTTCTAACTCTTCATGGCTTTTCTCACCGTTCACAGCGTTTCTGGTCTTTCAGCTCCTTGGAGTAAGCAATAGCATTCCCTCTATTCAGGACCCGCCCTGTTGGCACTGCTCTTTT